TTTATTCATATGCGTTGAAACTTGTAATAGAAGGATATATTAGTACTGTTAACAAGATTTTATGGTCAAAATAACATGAACACACGCGCATGCAAATGCCCTTCGCTCTGATTGGCTCCAACAAAAGTCTCAATATGTTTCTCAATAAATAGTTTGAAATTTAAAGCATAGGTAACATTAGGATGTTCTACAAGATATACAAGAAATATCAAATAAACACGCACATGCACGTGTGCTGCAATTTGATTAGCTTAAACTTTAAATGCTTATAACTTTCTTGGTTTTCAACATATTTTTGCATTGCAATATTTGCCAAAAAATATAGAAAAAATACTCATGCAGTATGATAAGCAGTAAGTTTCACTCAATCCATAAAATGGCCTGTCTATATACAGTTACATGTAACTGAGTTCCAGTGTTCAGTTTCAAACCGTATAAAGTACACGTACATGTTGTAAAGATTGAACGTTTTTGTTCTATAAAAAGTTCAGGTATTGATATATAGACTCTTCTGAAATGTTCCTGAGTTATGAAGATGAATACGTTCGAGTACTTTCAGAACAGAATTAGAATATGAACCCATTCCTTCATCCAAATGTTAAAACTTGGGTATAATTTGGTTTCATGAGATTATAACTAAATACTAAATAGTTGGGATCATATGTTGGATCTATGCGAATTATTTAAAGAAGCTCAAACTGCTGGCCATTTTGTAAGATATTTTTGAAATATGTGGTTACTGATGCACTTATAATACTTGGACTAGATAAAAAAAATCTTTGTCTTTTTCAAAGATTTGTAATCATGAAGGTCTAAGTGAAATTTAATGGGGTTTCAACTAAAAATGTGCGGGTAAACTACGAAGAAACTTAGAAGGCAAAAGGGTCTTAAGTAAACTTTTATCTTTCTTGATACTTTTTATTGTAGACAAAATTTGTATTCATGCTAACCTGATTAACTTGATCTAACAGAAAGAAGGATGAACAAAAGAAAGCCAGGGCTGTTGTTACAGAGCCAAAGGAGGGAGAGAGAGACATACCTCTATTTGAAAAGAGGGAACAGACTACAGTATCAAATTCAGCAGTTTTGGCGGTACTTCCATCTCAAATGGAATCTAGCAAGGAAAGAAAGACAGATTCTATTCTAGGCCGCGAGCATTCTCAAAATGTCGCATCAACACTTTCCGAAGCAGCAAAAGAAGTTCCTGAAAGCAGTGGTGATTCTTGAATTTATATATTTATTTGGTTCAAAACTTAAACGCAAAACAGCATTTATATATGAAATATCTGATGATGAACATTTTTTTCTCTCAATTTGATTTTAGATTCTTTGTCATCTGATATACCTACTAAAGAAATTCGAGGACCTCATTTCAAATTTCCGATTTCGGAGCGCCCTGTTTTCCAGACGATTAATATCACAAAATTCTCACCTTCTCTTTCACGAAGCATAAATCAAAGCGCAACTGTGAGTCCAGCTCCAACTATACGTTCAACAAATAGATCGCTAAACAGGATACCAGCACGACGCGGGATAGATATCGGTATTTACGATTTTTACGAAATATATCATTTTCTTATTAAATCAATGTATTAATTATATATTCATGTATACACTTAAGATTTTTGATTTTGTACAGTAACAGGATGGGAGTATGAAGAGGATCCAAAAACTAAAGTCAGGAACTGGATACGTACACCGAATGCAGATATTAAATCCGCTTTTCTTTGATATTGATAGAAATTTATCAAACTCGTGAATATACACCATACAAAAACATTATGTAGTATAAAGTTAGTTACTTAAAATAATCATTATTTTTTTTCAAAACTATGCATTGCAACTGCATATAAGGTTCCGAAATTAATTTGACAATTTGCTTATATTATTGATAAAATTGTAATTTTGATGACTCAATTTAATCATTTGATGTATTCGTACTGAAACGATTATGTATTAAATCTTAATATTCATTTAAAAAATTGCATTATAAAAATAATATGATGGATAAAAACTGATAAGACACGTGTTTTAATCTAATGTATTGTTGAAAAAGACAATCGCTTTTAAATACACTAATATTAATCGAGACCCCTTCGCCTTTAAGGAGTAGATAAAAGTTGAAGATTAGACAGAAAACTGCCTCCAGGCCGTTGAAAGATATTTGTGGTGGTAGTTTAATTATAGGGAAAACGGTATTTCATAAAGGGAGACTGGTTTAATTCACATTTGAACAACTTTGATGGAAAAAGATACTCTAACTATGTTCTACATGCACATGACTTTTCAATTTTGCAGCATCCTGTAGCCATATTTTAATCTGACAACATACAGCCAGCCACACACGGATCATTTTACAATCGCGTTAGACTGTTAGAGGTTCTACAGCATGAAATATAAGAATTACAAGTTTGGCTTTGCAGAAAGCCTGACATGTCATCTTTTTAGCTTAATTAATGTCACAGAATGAACAGTGAAATGTAACATATTTTCTCAGCTATTACAGATTTTACTTTTCTTCTAGTCACACTGCATGAAATATACTGAAATAATGTTTAAAATCTCTTTTATCTGGAATTTATCAAAACTACAAGGTTTGGGACATGTTTTATTGACATATATTCTAGAACTTTCAAAAAGTAACCTTAATCTATAATAGTGATAACTTTTAATGACAAATACGTCCATTATCCCTATATGTCCAGTTGAAGAGTTTTTGTCTATTTTGCCCCGGTAGCCATGCTATAATTGTTTGAATTTTACTTCGCATTTCCATTTCCTTTGAATAATCATAAGAGTATAATATCAATATATAATACACATTTTAAAAAGATACGCAAATAATATATATACATGTATATAAATTGTTATGTTCCACTAAGCAGTATTTCTTAACTTTGTAAAAAAAAATCGCAAGAATTAATTGGGTAAAATCTTATCCGTCCTTTTGACCTTACATACGTTTATTTCACAGCTTCTTACTCTGACAGCAGAGTGCTTTATCGACACGATAGCACTTACATGTACGAATCTTCGAGCAATCCGATGGTTTAGGCCGATGTATTTTAAGTAGATATATAAGGCTTCATAAATCAAATGTTGTAAATGTGAGCATAGAAATGAAAGATTATATATTATTTTATATATTTCTTCCATAAATCTAAAAAAATAATTGAAAATAAGTTTCCAAGGGACAATTCAAGTAGGTCTTTATTTTCAACACAGCTGACTACTTGTAGTAGTCCACAATGCATTGCGACTCATTCATCAGTGGGTAAAGTAAACATATAGCTATATAATTTACATGCAAATTTATTCTGACGTCAGGAAATCTAATGGTCTGGACCTGTTTAAGGTAGAACCTATGTCGGAGAAGTCTTTGCCACAAGATTTTTAAACTTTTCAAAACGATAAATTAGTACCTGCTTGTCAAACAGTTATGATATGTTTCCTAGTTTTTAAATGTAGCGCAGTCTGTGAAACTTGAAATGGTAATTTCTTACTGCGACTACACATTTTCAGTTATTCTTAGGGGTACTTGTCAAGAAGATGATATGAAAAATCACCAAAAAAAATTCTTCAAACATCGTCGTTTATAGACTTTATCAACTGAACAATATTAAGAAATGTTTCTCAAGAATAATTTTTTTTATTCAATTGAAATAAAAAAAAATATGTCCACATTTTAAAAAGATACGCAGATGAATTTTGTTTTTAGTCAATTTTTCCATTCTATATTTGTACCGTATAAGTAGAATTTTTAGCGAGGATGTAATTTTGGCATTATTAGGGTGCTGACATAGCTATAATTGAATATCGCCAAAGATTAATGGCGTATTATTTTTATAGCTTCTTTAGTTAGCCTTTTAAAATCGCTAAAATTACTTCTCGCTAAAAATGAAATACCAGATTTTAGGTAAAAATCGCTAAATTTGCTCTCGTTAAAATTTCCACTTATACGGTAAATATTTTACGAAAGTCTTTGTCACAATGTTTTCAATCTTTAATATGACGAAGAACACGTTGGGGAACACTTCAACATTGAGGGTCACAAATGGGAGGACGTGACAGTAGTGGTGATTGACCATAACCCAAGATGGAGAGACCCTCCGAGAAAAAGCAAAGAAAAGTTCTGGATGCACAGATTGAAGTCATTCCGCTTTATTGGTATGAACAAACTGAATGACTTCACCAGATTGAACGTAAACTAGACCCAATACATGATGATATTAAACAAGATTATTCTCTCAATTTAGTGTAAACTCTACAGTTAATTTGCGTTACCAACTCTCGAACAACCCACATAACTATGTATTGCTAACGCCTTTGTTAATTATTTTTCCGATAATTAGTCATAAAACATTTCAAAGAGCAAGAGCCATCATATGCATAAAATGGCCCTGTACTTATACATTTGTATATCAATTAATTAACTATCATCCTTCTACCCATGTCATATATCAAACTAAAGTAGACACTTTCGTTTTGAGAATCAACATATTGGAAAACAGGCTTGAGAAATTGCAATGTTCTTGAAATTTGCATAAAACATGCGTATTTGACTACCTTCAGCAAAGAATTAAAATATGAGCACAGCCCACGATCTAAAAAATAAAACGTGTTTTTTGATCTTCAGAAACAGAGCTTTCATTATGTATTTGCATATTTTGGATCAGAGATTGTGCTCTTTATATGAAATATTGAAAAAATGCTTTAACTTTAGGTCATTTCAAATGAAATTTAGAGGATATGAGGAAAAATGACGCATTTTATGACGTCATAATACATTGACTAGATGGAAAGTTACGCCACGATTAATAGATACGTGGTCACCAACATTCTAAGTGATAAATACTGCATTTGCAACCTAAACTGAGCGGTTTTGACTTTCCAGAAATTCTCAGGGCCAAATAAGGCCCAAAGTGGCTCCTGCTCTTTATAATAGATCATAATTCATATGTTAAAATATTCCTGCTATATTATTTTTCTTTGATTATTCTTTATTAAGTATAGTTACGCCATTTTGAGAGAATGAAACAATATACGATTTACTGATTGTAGTAATTAATTAACATAATTAATTCGTTTAATTATGTAAATCGCACTTCACCCGAGAATACCCGATAGACTGGGCATATTTCATAGCGGTCCGGATTTCTTTCTTTAACAATTTCCAATTCAACATGTAACTTAGTATGTAAATATATACATGTAGTGTTTAGTAGTTTAGTAGTAGTGCCAGTTGTTTTTGTTTTCTCTTTTTCCTTTGTTCTTATGACGTTTTAACTTTTTTCAACAAATCTTAAACTAATATAACCAGATTCCGTAGGTCCGTAGGTCGAGAGTTCAATCCCGGGCTGGGGCGGAAGTGAGTATCCATGTAAAAGTGAATTTCTCTGTGCTTTCTATATTAATATTCCTTCACTTAGAGCAGTTATATTAGTTTAAGAGTTGTTGTAATTTGTGCTTTATAGATAAAATTAATTTCATCACAACACGTATTGGTAACGATCCTCTAAAAACTAATGTCAAATAACTGTATCTCACTTCCATTCTCAATGACCGTGTAGTGTAGGTCAGCGTTGTGAGAATGCCATCGGCATCAAAAGCAAGGTTTTTAGCTTGCCTAGATAGCCGAGCGGTCTAACGCGCTGTTCCTGTACTGCTTGGAGACAGATTCCGTAGGTCGAGAGTTCAATCCCGGGCTGGGGCGGCAGTGAGTATCCATGTAAAAGTGAAGTTCTCTGTGCTTTCTATATATAGAAAGCACAAAGACATTCACTTTTACATGGATACCCACTTCCACCAAGCCTCTTTCCTTACTACTCACTACATGTAACAAACAATGTTTCGACTGTAGTGAAGGAGAAACTTCTAGAATACTGTGAAATAATATATTCAAGAGGGAGTGTAAATCAGATGTGGATACTTAAAAATTCCAAGGAACGTTAGACAACATTAAAATCACAGGATTTTACCAAAATCAACAGCTGAAAAACTTATGGCTTTTCAACCTTATAAACAACCATTGCCCACGATAAATTGAAGTCCATGCTTTTTTATATCATTGACATTTTTTGAATAAAAAAGAATCTCGAAAATTTACTTATCTTGTCATTGGTCATTTGCAAAGTTATTTTGTTTGAAAAAATACGCTGATTGTACACATAAGAACTCTGAAGTCTACATCAAAAAGATCCTTGAGTTTCTGATTAGCAATATCTGTGTTGTTTTTTGGAGACCAGGTCTTCAAACAATCTATAGGAATTTCAGTGGGTACCAATTGCGTCCCGTTATTAGCAGACCTATTTTTTTATTCATATGAAGCAGAATATGTGCAAAACATTATACGTGAAAAGAGGAAAATCCTTGCATGGCCTTCAACTCGACCTTAGATATATCGGTGAAGTATTGTCTATGAAAATGGGTATTTACATTCCATACGATGTCGATACGATAAATCCTGGTGAGCTTAAAATAAAAGATACCACTGAGTCTAACAAATTTGTTTCATCTTAAGACATTTTACCTAAAAAAGTCTGTAAACTAACAACTAATAAGCTCCACGATAAACGTGATAACAAACTTTTCAGTCGTCATTTCCCCCTACTTATGCAACACTCTACCTACTTCAGCTGTATAGTTTGTATCTCTCGGTTGATTCACCATGTTTTATGTATGAACAATTTCTAAAAAAAAAAAAAAAAAAAAAAAAGGAAAATTTTTGACGAACAAGTCAGCATTATTGTTTAAAGTAATTATTTCGTAAGT